GCGGGAGGTTGGGCGGAATGAGTACTGTACCATTCTTTGAGAAATGACGATCGTAAATAGAACTGTGCATTGACTTACTTTTTGTCACATAGGAGATTTCTTATTTGCACAGCAGTTTTCAACCTCTGTTTAACATCCAAGTAACTGGAAGGTTCATCAAACATAAAACTGCAAATGAAAGCAACAAAAATTGTGAACAACTGGCACACATTGGCCCAGTACTGCGGAGGAAAATAAATAATGTATGCAAAACATATGAACAAACATTCAAGATTGACCAAAATCAATGTCCAGTAAGCTATGTTTTTTGTTAACCACTAATATCCAATTGTTTTAAATTGTGAAAAGCCTTTGCCCTCCTCACATTGACCTAATAATGTCCAGCACTCTGGCAGATTGATAATACATCAAAGTTTGTAAATATATCAAATAAACGTAACCATAACGATCACTATGGAGAATGATCATGATGGTAGGAAAGATTTTGTCATGGTATACACTCACTGTATAAACCAAATCTTTAGAGAATATTTCACAACACTGGTTGTGAAGCACATGTTCTAATATCATGTAAACAAAGTATTTTAGACTTTTATACATTGTATGGTATGTACACCAAAGACGACATGTCGCGCCTGAAATGCTTTAAGGATGGTATCTATTGTAGGATATACTGATATCTAACTTGACATGTAAAAATCAAGCAGACTCGTGTAATATCCAGATTACTGTCCCAAAGATAATTAGTATGGTATGACAGATAAACTATACCACGTACTCAACTCTTTGGATTTTGTCGCAACTTGCGATTTGATAAGTCATTCACAAAGACTGCCACAGAAGTCGGTTTAACTCCCTGCCGAGGCCTCCAAGTGTAAATTTCAGTGCTATAAAAATTATTTTCACGCCAGAGTTGTGTAATAGTAATTGTTTTTTAGTATACCAAATTGATTGCAAAAGTTGTTTTGATACAAGTAAACCATTTTACTGCGTAGTTTTATGTGGACAATTTTGACAAGGCAAATTTATATTTTATTTTATTTTACAATTTATTTTTATATTTATATTACTCACATATCAGCATTCTGTATACAGACAACAGCACAAGCAAATCGTTGAAGCTCACCGCCGGATAAATCCAACACATTACGATCTCGTATGTGGAGTAAATCTATAGATAAGAATGAAAACATGTTTACATAAAAAAAGAAAAAACTCTTTTCATCCAGTCAATTTTTATGATTTGCTCATTCAATGAATGAAGTCACACAACACAATGTTACAACTACACTGATGTAATTAAATAGTCACATTGAGGTAGCAAAGAAACGCACAAGTTCTATCATTCAAGGTTGTTATACAACGTTTATCTAAAAGCATGAATGCTAAAACACACTACAATGTTGGTGTACACATGTCCATTTAATGCAACCAAAAATGGAAAGATGATCGCATCGTTTCGGTGTCTGACAAGTTGCATGTTGGGTATTGTGATATCAAGTATGATATTTAATAATCAAGTTGACTCGTGTAAATACCCAAAATTTATTTCCCAAAGAATAATTATTATAATACAACGAATGAATATATCATGTACTCAAATCTTTGGTTGCTTTGATAATGGTTTGAACATATGTATATTGTAATTATTTTAACTTAAAAGGCATCAACAAACTGCCATACATCTTGCACCTTATTCATAACTTTACTTAACTACTGAAACTTACCAAGCTGTTTACAAACTGGAACCTGCGTTTTTGTATCGTCTTTTCTGTCCAGCAGCGACTGTACTGTTCCCTAAAAGAGAAAAAACTCAAGTACAGTTATAAATGCACATTACTAATCCAGTATCACATTTTCACAAATACTTTCATTCCAGGATTTCATTAACATGAGATTATTTGCTTTGAAGCAAGTTTTCCAAGATTTTATTTATTACATGTGTATTCACAGATTTCTACCAGAACAATCTTGAAATTGTCCCGCTGCATACGATGATAATGTTTCACCAAAATTCAGTGATGAGTTGTTGTGAAATTGCCAATATTCTAGATACATGTTGCACTATTTTCAGTACATCTAAATTTGGTGATCATTCGGCTTCTCAAATGATTTTCACGAAGATTTATCTCATGGGTGAATCTTGTGAGTAGCATCACAGAAATACAGACACAATTAAGTCTTCCGCTAACGATATGATACAATACTTAACCTGTAAACAATTATTTCCAAAACGACCCTACTAAAATACAGTGGTAAGAAAATATCCGACAGGAACAGAAATTTAAATTTAACTGAACGCGAGCAGAAGTTAAACACTGATTGGTCAATGCAAACCATGTGCCGACATAGATTGACCCTAATTAACATAATTTAAGAATTTCACTAAGATATCGGCAATATCACTGTAACATCAAATATAACAATAATAAATATCAATATTAATGTTCGCGACAAATCTTGCTCAATCCTCAATACACCCAGCAATCAGTGAATGTACATACAATCAAATATTTCACATAATCCTCTCAATACACCAATATAATGTTACATAAATGTTCTCAAAGTTTTAGCACCACTAGATTCTAAACAATGACTCACCGTGACAGCTTTCGGTATTTGATCCACATACTGCGGTTTGATGATAGCTTTGAGATCATCCTCTAAAATCTTAGTAAAATAATTCTGTAATTCGGAACCTCTAAAGTATGTAAGGATATCCGTCCAATCAGGAGGTTCCTGGGATAAGAAAGTATTAAAATGTTAAAAATGACGACACTACTATGGCCGCAAATATTTTGTGTACACCAAACCAGCTATATCAGTTAATAGGCTGACAATACAACCGTGTTGCTAATAATGTTGCCTCCAAGTTTGATATCAATCTACTGGCTTCATGGATTGTGAATATAATTTGTCATCACCAAAAATTACATCTTTGATTTACTCATTTATCTTACCATGTTTTACCAGGTTAAACTCACATTAAATCTACCCAAATTGGGTTTTTGTTTTCCAGCTAGAATTTTTAGAGCTGTTGACTTCCCGATACCATTTGTACCCACTAGTCCTAACACTTCACCTGGCCTTGGCATTGGAAGCCTGTCAATGAGAAATGCATTTCAATACATTGACTACGTAACCATCACTAAAAAAATGTGAAATGTATATACATAGGTTAATTCCCAAAGGCATGAATACAATACACTTGACAACATTTTGCGAGGTAGCAACATGTGCTTTGCTATTTCAATCATGTAGCAATGCATTTTCCTTCTGTTTAGCAACATTTTTTTGGGTATAATTCTTACGTCAAACTGAAAATTGGTCGCAACAATCAAGTTGGGAAAGCACAACAGGAATGTGCAAGTAGGAATCTCAGTTTTTGGGAATGTAGAATTCATGAATTTCTAGTTATAAATTACAAATTCCATATTTTCACGATAGTCTTGCAATTATAAATTCACTGGTAATTGTTGTATCACATAGAAATTCTGTGCCCTTGGAGTTGGGCGATGATGGGGAATTTATATGATTGAGGATGGTTTCACACACGACTCACCTGTGAAGTTTGAAAGAATTGGCACTGTATCTATGGGTTGTATCACGTTCTAAATTACTTGGTAAATTGATGATAGAAATAGCTTCAAACGGGCATTTCTGTAATAATTATTGAGAAACCATTAAACACTGAATAAATATTGAGAAATAATAACATGCCAACATTACATTCATCCTTTTTCATACGCCCTCGAATGGTCTGACAGGGGTTAAGGTTAAAAGAGTCGACTCAAAAA